AAAAAGTATTTTCTGTACTTGCTGAAAATATTCTTAGCCTAAAAAAGAGAAACACATGCAGCCACCGCATCTAAGAACTGGTAGGCTCCAATAGATTACATATTCGTGTTTGTAAATAAACTTAAAAGTCTATCTCTAGGCAAACTAAAAACTACCCTAGCAGTGGGGCGACCTCTGTCCTGCAAGTGTCAGATACTGGATTATGTGGAGGGGTATAGTGAAGAGGAGTTTACTTATATGATCCTCACTCCTCAAGCAGTGGGCACTCTTTTCTCTCTCCTGGCTCTGGCTTGTGCACTGTCCCTCAGCGTCCACATGTAAAGCGCAGGGCTATGGGCCCTGCATTGTTTGTGATGACATTAACGGGTCTCTGACCACCAGAGCCCAGGGGGAAGAGGCCACAGGCACCAGTCCCAGAGCCTGTGGGAGTGAGGATCAGGTAGAGGGCCCTTTCCCACCATAAGCTGTGCTTATGTCACCAGTTACAACCAAGTTCAATTGGTGCAGCGCGGTGCCATGCAGTTGTACTGCATCACACCACACTGCACTGAAAAAAAAATCATGCTGTACTTTTTCAGTGCTCACCACTGCAATGCGTAAAATTAATGTTAAGTAGCCCCCCCCCGCCCTTTTGTGTGGCTATATGGTAACTGTCTCCAATCTCCAAACTAGGGATGCACCGATACTGTTTTTTCGGTATCGAGTGAGAGTACCGATACCGGTGCTTCCACTGGCATGGACTGCCAGAGAATCCGGCTCCATGTTGTCTGGCCGGCTTGATTGTGCTTGGCTGGGAAACCGGCTTCCAAGCCAATTAGCATGGAGCCGGCTTTCCGGCCAATCAGGAAGCCGGGAGGCGGGTCATTATTCGCCGCCCAGCTTCCTGATCGCACTGGAAGCTGGCTCCATGTTCCCCTTCTTCTGACCGGAAGTTCCAGTATCGGGGAAAGTATTGGAGCATTTGGGCGAGTACGATTACTCGTCCCAAATACTGGGTATAGGCACCAATACAAATATACTAATATTAATACTAATACCGGTGCATCCCTACTTCAAACCATATCATTATTGAGCTGGCTTTGTAAATCATGATGGAATAGAAAAGGGCCTTCACCAAACTGTCTTCATGTGGTTTGAAGTGCACAATTGTCTAAAATGTCTTTGTATGCTGTAGCAATAAAGTGATATTAAAGTCAAAAGGTTTTTAATCTATTTCAAATGCTGATGAAATCACTTACAATTGATGATGCTTCTTGTGCACACTGACACCAATGACGTTTATTTGGGTGGGGATTCCAATTGTGCACACTGACACCAATGACGTTTATTTGGGTGGGGATTCCAATTGTGCACACTGACACCAATGACGTTTATTTGGGTCCTATGAAGTCCCATACTTCCCTATGGGGATGGTTCCCACCTGGGCGTATTTTAGCCCGTGGAAACGCGCTGAAAAACGCCCTACGCTCCCACAAACAAGTACAGGAGCTTTTTTGGGGCATTTTAGAGAAAAATAAGGAGAAAAAAATCATACCGCCAGTGAAACGCGCGTTTGACTGAACAGAAAAACGTGCTAAAAAACGAGCAGAAAAAATACGCCCAGGTGTGAACCCAGCCTTACACACTGGCTCAATAAAATACCTTGGCTGGAGTTCAGCTTTAATAGAGATTATTTTCAAGTAGCAAACTTCTCCTATGACTTAGGAGCATTACATTTTTTTTTAAATGTCTAAGTTTCTGTTTTCTACCTAATTGAAGTTGTTTATTGGGCTTAGATGGAAATCTTACTATTCCCAAGATGCTGTAAGCATTTTCTTCCCAAGTTGCTGTAACATGCCAAGAAAATATATTCCCTGTGTAAGAAACCCTCTGTGACATGTATTCATGAGTGTAAAAAGGTATAAAGTCAAATAAAAGCTATCACCTACTAATACACAAAAATATAAAACTTCAGACAAATACAAATTATGATTTCCAACAACAGCACCTTAAAATCAACTGGTCATTAACATAACACTAGAGCCGTACTATAATATGAATCACAAAAGAAAAAAAAATACCGCTTATCTGCATTCTTTTTAGTAGAGATTGTATGCCTATGTGCCTAGCCTGCAGACAAGTGGACAGCACTAGAGAAAGCCTAGGACAGGGGTAGGCAACCTTGGCACTCCAGTTGTTGTGGAACAAGATGTCCCATGAAATGTCATGCCGTCTGTGAGGAAGCTGAAGCTTGGATGTCATTGGACCTTCCAACAGGAAAAGAATCTCAAGCATACCCCAAATTGCACCAGGCTTGATTGCAGAAGAAGTCCTGGAAGATTCTACAGTGGCCATCACAGTCACCTGACTTGAAGCCTGTAGAAAATCTCTGGTGTAATTTGAAGAAGGTGGTTGCAGCACACAAACCCAAGAATATTAGTGATCTGGAGGCCATTGCTTATGAGGAATGGGCTAAGGCCTGGTTCACACCTGGACGTTTTACAGCGTGTAGGAACGCGCTGAAAAACGCCCTACCCCCAAAGAAGTACAGGAGCTTCTTGGGGTGTATTTGCCACGCGCATCCATTAGGATACAGCCGATAGCCCTTTACACGCTGCTCGGCTTCCGGCTAATCAGGAAGTCAGGTGGAGAGTCATTACACGCCTCCTGGCTTCCTCAATGGGACTTCCAGTATCGGCGAGTACCAGAAAAAAACCTGGTATTGGTGCATCCCTAATGGTAACGCATGGCATTATGTGCAAAGCGGTTCCATGCATTTGTAATCTCTCCCCCCAGTGCACACACAGAGTAGTTGCCAATGCATCAGTGCTTCAGCACCCCACAACACATGGTGTGCTGCAAAGCTGCAGGTGTTTTTTTTTATGCGTCAAGATGCACTTACAGCCCATCCAATATAAAATCCAGAAAGGTAATCTAAACCCATTAAGAAAAACACAATAAATTGCAGCTTCCTAGTGTAGATGTGGTGGCTGAGGTAGTTTTCTTTTTTAGGCTTTTTTTCCCTTTATTTTTACCTGGTGATCCTGCAAATAACGCATGTCCAGTCCCTATATATCTACACTCTTGTCTGTATCTATGGAGGGAGTTGTGGTTGTAACAAAGGCTGTACTTCAAATATGTCTGCCTTTTGTTCGTCTCCATTACATGGTAGTTGATGACCTGAGCAGTTTTGCTGTCTTTTCAGTGCACAGGAAGCAACAAGAACATGGCATTTCAGGCAAGAACAAAAAGTATTTTCTGTACTTGCTGAAAATATTCTTAGCCTAAAAAAGAGAAACACATGCAGCCACCGCATCTAAGAACTGGTAGGCTCCAATAGATTACATATTCGTGTTTGTAAATAAACTTAAAAGTCTATCTCTAGGCAAACTAAAAACTACCCTAGCAGTGGGGCGACCTCTGTCCTGCAAGTGTCAGATACTGGATTATGTGGAGGGGTATAGTGAAGAGGAGTTTACTTATATGATCCTCACTCCTCAAGCAGTGGGCACTCTTTTCTCTCTCCTGGCTCTGGCTTGTGCACTGTCCCTCAGCGTCCACATGTAAAGCGCAGGGCTATGGGCCCTGCATTGTTTGTGATGACATTAACGGGTCTCTGACCACCAGAGCCCAGGGGGAAGAGGCCACAGGCACCAGTCCCAGAGCCTGTGGGAGTGAGGATCAGGTAGAGGGCCCTTTCCCACCATAAGCTGTGCTTATGTCACCAGTTACAACCAAGTTCAATTGGTGCAGCGCGGTGCCATGCAGTTGTACTGCATCACACCACACTGCACTGAAAAAAAAATCATGCTGTACTTTTTCAGTGCTCACCACTGCAATGCGTTGGTGTGAATTATACATATTGCGACAAGGTATATTGACTTGTCTGTGTGTTGGGGCTGTGCTAGAAAAAAGTGTTAGCCCCAATGGGGTGAATGGGCCCTAGAAGTGCTCTGCACCATGCCCCCTTAGACATAAACAAGCAGTTAACCCTTACAGTGCGGGGGTAGCCCCATTGCAATGTTTTTTTTTTAACCTGGACATGGGCTTTAACACAGCATGTCTCAATGCACAAAAACGTACAAATTTGAAGGGCTCCTAAAGGGAATCTTGCATTAAAGGAGACGTATTGCGTCGAACAGTGTGCTGCCTGCCGGGGGCGCGTGTTCGACACATTGCGGAACGAATTGACAGATTACTGGATGGGGTTGGGCACGACCCCGTTGTCATGGTGCACATTGGCACCAATTACAAAATAGGAGGAAACTGGAGTGTCCTAAAACAAGACTTCAGAGACCTAGGTGCTAGGATGAAGGAAAGGACCTCCACAGTAGTTTTCTCAGAGATACTGCCGGTGCCACGAGCCTCTCCGGACAGACAGCGCGAGTTGAGGGAGCTTAACAAGTGGCTCCGGAGCTGGTGAATGTAACTATGTATTGGGAGAGTAAAACATACTCTTCCCAAAAACTTTGAGCTGACCTGCAACACTGCAACTGTCACTCGTCTGCTCTATAGATCGAGAACTAAGCAATCACAAACTGCTCATGGTCTTCTCCCTGCAGAAGCAGTGCCTGTCAGTCGCCAATCTCCACAGGGATGCCCCCCTCCCCTCTCTGTTCCTCCATTGGAGGGACAGAGAGGGGAGGGGGCGGGCACAGCTGTCTCTGGCTATAGAGAGGCAGAGTCAACTGTCAATCGGGCAGCGGGGTGGATCCCGACAATATTGACAGGATCTTGTCCCGTAAATGTACTTCTGTGACACAAAAAAGAACTAAAGCCCCCAAAAAGTTTGGCTTTTGTTCTCTTTTAAGCTAAATACACCTTTGTAAGAAGCTCTAATGGAAGCAACCACTGTCTGAAATCCCATATCTGACTTCCGCTGCCCCCTGAACTACAATGCAGTATAGAAATAGCAGATTCTTCCAGAGCCTTTGCACACAGGATTTTTTTTATTCTTTAAGACAGACTCCCTTTAAGTCCCCAATAATGCAGTTCGTAGATGAAAGTATGCAGAACCCTACCAGGCCACACTGCTATGGGAGTCATTGTCGAGGTGACACAGAAGTTCCAAGGTTTGGGTGTTGTTTGATGAATCATCGGGGACTTCCTGGTTCCCTGCCTGTAGTTCCTTCGGTATCCTCCACACAGCCCCACAAGACGTGACTTTGCTGTCTGAAGCTGAACAACAGAGGGGAAGAGAGAGAGAAAAGGCACAGATCAGTACATGTAGAACACATTTGGAATGACTGTGCTCCGGCGTTCGCACAAAACACAGGAGCTATGCACAGCTGTTGCCTGAAATATTTAAGGCCTTATATTTTAATAAGCAGCAGAATGCAGTGCGGAGATAGAGGGAAAAGCCTGAAGTCGCCAATCAGTTCTGTGCAGAACTCGTAATTTGCATATGTTTAACCCAGTTTCACCGTGTTCTGAAGCCAGTCTTCATGTCTTGATGAAATTTTAATTCTTTTGGGGGTGGGGAGGAAACACACACACACACACACAGAATCCCCTACCACCATTCCTATTTTTGTTATGCAAATGAAGGAGCAAGCAAAATTGGCTCTTGTCAAGCAAATGGTTTGTATAGCAGAGTTATAACTCAATTACGGCCTCTACCTGGAGCGGTTTTAAAACCAATTCAGTTTTTTTGTGTGTTTTTTTTAAGGTGTTTATGAAAATGCAGCCAGTGCAAATATAACAAACACATCAGAAGAAATGCTTTTATTCCATCTCAGAAATATGCATAAAATAACAAAAGCAAAATAAACACATGATAAAAATAAGGTAAATATCCTCATCAAATCTGTAAAGAATGAAGACACATTAGATCTTATTTGGAAAGAAAGCCCGGCTTAAAAGGATATTGACATTTTGGGTTGAGCGGTGCCAGGGGTTTTATGCTGTTCGGGTTGGGAATTCTCCCACACTCTGCTTGCTGGTATAGCTGTGACATAGAGGACTGCTTTCCAGCTATACGGTCATCACATATTCCTATGCAGAAAACAGTAGATGGCGCCTCTGATGACTAGTGGGTAGTTTAAAAAGCTAAGCTGTCAGCGAATTATAGCAGAGCTCCGGGCCAAAATGTTCTTAAAGTGATATTAAAGGCTATCCCCCACAATGCTAGTGTCAGGACTTACCTTAAATGATGTCTCTTTATTCAATAATTTTCTTCCTTACTGTCCTTTTCAGCTGTCCGTACAGTGCTGGTGCCGGTATCTGATCCAGCGCTGACTCTTCTGTCCTCCTCTTCTCTGATGTCCCACGCAATCTGTGCGGGTGCACGCTGCTCCATAGACTTACCTTGTGTCTCTCCTCATCTCCCGGCTGAAGATCTGAACTGTGCATGCGCCCGCCCCAAGATCCTTTGCGGCTGCCTGAGACTCTTTAGATGTTTGGATGGGAGCGCGCGGCGAAGACACAGGTAAGTTTAACCAAGGCGCGCGCGAGCAGAATTTTTTTTTTACTACGGGCGGACGGCAAGAGGTTAAACCTGTTACAAAAGGTTGTTTGGGTTTTTTTGCATTTATCTACTGCTTGCTAGCTTCGCTGTAGCCGTCTAAGGATCCTGTGAGTCATCTCATTCTATACACCGTGTATAGGACATGAGGACGCTGAGGGACATGCCATCGTTGCAGCGGAGAAGTTAACAGGCTTCAGGGACCGCTCACACCAGTTGCAGTGCGTTCCGGCCCGATTCTGGCCAGAATGCACTGCCTCGCATTGCGGCCGGCTCACTTTTTAGTGGGGCAGGAGGGGGGCGCATCGACTGCAATGCGAGGCAGTGCGTTCCGGCCAGAACGCACTGCATATGGTGTGAACGAGGCCTCAGGGACCGGAGTAGCAGCCAGCTGAGAGGAGAGGAGTATAATTTGTTTGTTTTTTTTAGACAAAAATTAACACTTCACCCTTGGAGAGAGTGTGTGTGTGTGTGTGTGTGTGTGTGTGTGTGTTTCTTAACCCACTGCAATAATTCTGCCACATCATCAAGTTTCAGAACAGCTCCAAGTTTCTCAGCTCTGCTTCCCTGAACTTCCTGTTGAATACAAGATTACAACACAGGCCCTAACAGGGCTTCAGTTTCTATTCTCATCATAAGAACTTATCTGTTTTTCCTTTTGCAGAGGCATTAAGACCCAATACATTGTTTTAACCCCTTTATGACAGCATTCAGCATGTATGCAATGGAACTGTGGGTGGGCCTTAAAGCGGAACCCCAGGTCCTGTCTGGTTGCTAGACTGGTCCCTGCCGCCTTTCCAGCGGTCTATGGACCCTTGATGTCATCACATCTAATACAGGTCTATTAGACATGAAAATGCAGAGGGACATACTGCAGCCGGAGGGGGGGGTGGGGGGATGGCGAGGTCAGCAGTCAATGCCGCAGGACAGAGGATCAGGTGACTAGTTCTTCCTTATGTCTTGCAGTACAGGGATACTGCCACTGCAAGGGTTAATTTATCACAATCCTTGAGTTCTTCTTTAACACCAAGCTGCTGAATATATGCGTCCCTGTGTTGTTGTGGGGTGCGATCAATCGGCATCCCAGAACTATGACCAAGCAGTCACTGACAGCTCACGGTCAACTACTGATGACTGGGAGAAGTTAGGAAGGGCTCCTGATTGCATCATGGCTGGCAATGACAGTGAATGAATGAATGGGAGCCCCTCCTACTGGCCTCCGGCTTCATGGCCCACTTAAAACACCAGCTCCTACCGTCAGCAAGGGGTTAATCTAGAAGAGGCTTGTTGGGGTTTTGTTTGCGCACTGGGGTTATGTTCCATGATAAGTTTAAATGGAAAATGGAAGTTGGTGCAGTTCTTCCATTTAAAGTAAAAATGAGAACAGTATAAAATCGGAGACGGATGTTGCTGGCATACGATCTAGATGAAGTAGCTGGAAATTCTGCAAAATGTCCGCTATACATTAAGCGTTTGTCGTGACAGAAAGGATTGGAGAGTTTTGCGTGGAATATTTTGCATGAAGAATATGTAGGATAACTGGTCTGGATTCTGATTATAGCTGTGTGGGGACTCGTTAGCTGCCATTACATCTCACAGCTGTTCAATCATCCGCCTTTTGTTCCTTACAGCCTCTCATGCTGTGTAACCCTCTGACTGCCAGGCTCGGTGCCCATCAACACGTTTTACTGCGCTCCCCAGCTCTGGCTGGTGAAATGCGACAGCGAAGGAATTTTCCGTTATCCCTGCCTAACATTAGTCACACTCCATCAATGACACAGAGTTATGCTCCAATTTACACACCCAGTACATACTAAATGAAAGGAATCGTTTAAAAGGACACCTCCAGTCAGAATAATAATCGCCAGCAAATTTACATTATGTTGAGGTATGTGGATGAAAGTTTTAAAGCTGAACTCCGGGCACAGAAACCTTAATTTATATATATATTTCCCAATAGCCACAAAGGATATTAATCCACTTTGTATGTACCAAATGCCTTTGGAAACTCACTGTGCTGTACGTAGCCTGTGCAGAGAGCAGAGCTGTGGGAGGAGCACAGCAGGCCCACTCACCAAAGGCTACCTACAGAAACTACAGAAGGGGGCGAATACAAGACCAGTCACCCTGCACAAAGAGAGAGAGAGCAGAGCTGTGGGAGGAGCCAACAAGCCCCGCTCACTACTTGCTACCTGCAGAAACTACAGAAGGGGCGAATACAAGACCAGTCACCCTGCACAAAGAGAGAGCAGAGCTGTAGGAGGAGCCCAACAAGCCCCGCTCACTACTTGTTACCTGCAGAAACTACAGAAGGGGGCGAATACAAGACCAGTCACCCTGCACAAAGAGAGAGAGCAGAGCTGTGGGAGGAGCCCAGTAGTCCCCACCCACTACAGGCTACCTGCAGAAACTACAGAAGGGGGCAGATACAAGACCAGTCACCCTGCACAAAGAGAGAGAGAAAGCAGAGCTGTGGGAGGAGCCTAGCAGGCCCCACTCACTACAGGCTACCTGCAGAAACTACAGAAGGGGGCAGATACAAGACCAGTCACCCTGCACAAAGAGAGAGAGAGAGCAGAGCTGTGGGAGGAGCCCAGTAGGACCCACCCACTGCAGGCTACCTGCAGAAACTACAGAAGGGGGCGGATACAAGACCAGTCACCCTGCACAAAGAGAGAGAGAGAGCAGAGCTGTGAGAGGAGCCCAGCAGGCCCCACTCACTACAGGCTACCTGCAGAAACTACAGAAGGGGGCGGATACAAGACCAGTCACCCTGCACAAAGAGGCTCTAGAGCAGTGGTTCTCAACCTTTCTAGGGCCGGGACCCCTTGGTAACATTTGCCAAGTTGTGGTGACCCCCAAAGGTAAAATTTAGGGATGACGCGGCTGCTGCAGCGACATCTGGAGGTGTGGCAGAAGAACTGACACTGCTGCGCTAGGAGAGAGCTGAGGAGGACTCTCACCTTGCACAGCGACCCACAGGTTGAGAACCACTGCTATAGGCAAAGATAGGACCGGGCTCTGCAGCTGGAACTAGAAGAATTGGATTTAAAGTGTGTTATATAACGTATAAGTGGGCTATATAACGTATGAGGTACATACTCCGCAGTACTGTCACTGATAGGGATGGGCTCGGGTGAATTCGCAGCTCCACGTGCTGAGCCCGCCAGGAAGCTGACAGTGCCAATCACAGGCACTGAGACATTTCCCGATCTCTGCAGCTGTGGACCGGGAAAATGGAATGCATAGCTAGAGGTGTGTTTTACATATTTTTTTGCTTGAATACATACATATTGCACCCGCCCTCTGCTGCTGGGTGCAATCACTAGAAGGGGACATGATGGAGAACTTCAGGTCCCCCTCTGCTGATTGGCAGCATCAGAGGGCGGGTGCAATAGCTAGTTTGCTATTGGCCTTTTGAAAGTGAATAGCCAATAGGAATCTAGCTATGCATTTCTATGGTGGGGTTTTTTTTCTGACTTACGGCGGTCACCGATTTAAAAAAAAAAAAAAACAGAGCAGAGAAAGGTCCCGACCTTTCCGGGAGAAAGTGTCTCTCTCCCGGCGGCCAAGAGCCACTAGGCGACCCCTGGCAAATTGTCATTCGACCCCCGAGGGGGTCCCGACCCACAGGTTGAGAACTGCTCTAGAGAGTCAGAGCCAGCTGTCAATCAGGCACCAAGGTGGATCCCAATAATTTTATCAGGATCTTTCT